ACTCTAGCTCGCGATTGGGTGCTGGCGAGGCGGAGCCCGCCAATGAGCTTCGGGCAGAGGCGGAGCCCGCCAATGAGCTTCGGGCAGGGGCGGGCTCTTTCTGCCCAGGGCGGTGCGGCCCGGAACACGGGGCAGGGAGCGGGGGGAGATGGCGGGTGGCCGCGGGGCGTCCCGAGGGGGGAAAAATGCAATAAATTTTAAAACCGGTTCAGATAAGACGACTGGCGCTCCTTGGGCGTGCCCAGCGGGGGTGGGTCAGTGCAAATGGCGCACTGGCAGACAGGAGCAAGACTCGGATTCGTGCCTTCCCATGAGTACCCGCCAGACCGAGACCTGGCAGGGAAAGGCCTCGAAAAATTAAAAAAAAAAAAAAAAAAAAAAAAAGCCATTTGGGTTCCCTTGTAATTTCGCCCAGTCTGCCAGCTGCTCTGGAAGGTTCAGCTGAGCCCCTGGTCTTCCTGGTTTGGGGCTTTAGTTACAGTCAAGGAGCCCTTCACGCTCTGTATCGGTGGAGGAGATGCAAGCTTAATGCAACAAATTAACTCGTAACACTAACGCTACAGTATTACTGAATGTTGTGAATGCATTAGGGGAATGTTTTGATTACAAATGGGTTGGTTTGTTATTATTTTAGTTTTGAAATGTACTATGGCAAGATAGGCTAAGTGATTGTGCTGTGTGTTTACTTTCCAGATAGTTTAAGCCAACGATTTTCAATGATGGTATAGATCCTTGCACAGGACATTTAATCCGTATACAACCCTCACGGTTTTCTTGTAGCGTTGCTATTGTAAGGTTTCAATGCTGCACAACTTAAAAAGCTTAAAATAAAATGTTTTTTTATGTGGACAGCTGGGTTACATGCTATCATCATCCATACCACATCGTTCAGTTTTGACAACAATTCACATGAAATCTGGCACTTTTGTGGGTTGTTTTTTAAACCAAAGGTTATTAGGCAAGAAGTTACTCAGCACATCCCAAACCTTTAAGGACAAAATTAAATCCATTTTTGTTCAAATAGCACTACCTTGTGGTCAGATCTGGTAAGTGACGCTTTCTTACACCAGCCGTGTTAGAGGCAATGCTGAAGTTGCTTAATCGAGATAGGGAGGAAACTTTGTTCATCCTGGCCGAATATAAAATATTTTTGGAAGTATCAGATATGATTTTAAATCTTAAGTGTTTTCAGAAAAAGAGATTTAATTAATTTCCTGTGTTGCTAGTAATTTCTACTTATCACTTAAAATTATTTTCATGCTTGTCACAGAGCTAAGGTTTTGATTAGGGTGACTGGTTAATCACACTAGTATGCAAATGATAAAGTGGATTTATCACACTGTGTTCAAAGGTCCATAATATATTTGAGCTTAAACAATTTACTTTTGTTTAATCTTAATGTGCAATGTTGAAGAAGTTTCAATCTTTTTGATTTTTTTTTTTTTTTGCTTTAGAATTAAGCCACTTTTAAATCAATATTCAGAAGTAAATCATTGTTATAAAACTATGTATTACACTCAACTGTATTATTAAGAAGGCCACATACACTCTGTCTTGCTGCGTGTGTAGCTAATATGGAGTTCACAGAACACCTCTAGTTTTGTAGCATTATGCACCATCTGTACTTAGTTACCTATACATTCTGATGGAAACATTACATATTTGTACTCAAAATGTAATTGTGTACACAAATATCTCCATGCATCTCTTAGTAGGATTATGCTGTGATTAACCTTGTCACCCAGAAGACTTTGATTTCTGATTACATAGTATTCCATGACAACAAACAAAAAGAGCTCTCTATAAACATGTTTGTAAATTGAACATCTTTCCTGCAGCAAAGGTTACTGGTCTATTCAACTCACCTCAGTTTCCTTTTAAGCAGATAAAATCTATGTTTACTCCTAACGGCTGTTTGCATTGTTAAATAGTGTGAAGAAAAGCTGTACTTGTGAAAGAATTGATCCATGTTTTGTGTCTTAAGTGAAGCCAGCGCACAAATTGACCAGACTTAAAGGTATATTTAGTTTACTGGAAACATTATAGTTTCTTTTTTTCTCTAAGTCTTTGTTAAATAAAATTATAGTTAGTGTACTTTCTGAGACTCCTCTCCTACTGCTCTAGAGTTACAGCTCTTTTCTCTCTTTCTTTTTTTTTAATGAAAGAGAGCTAGATGGTTAAGAAGACTCGAAATAGCATATAGAGCTAAGCCGTTAGTTTACATAAAAATCTGGGCTGGTTAGGCTTTTAGTTGCCTGAAGATTGTCAGTAATGTGTGAGATAGAGCATGTTTTAAATGCTTTAACATAAAAATGCATTGGTATTATCAGTAGTACAAATTATCATCATTTAGTCAAATCTTGCAAAAAGGGCAAGGTCTGAATGGATATGAACATAAATTAAGTCCAAGAAAGAGATATGCCATCTCTATTTAGAGGAAGTGGCAGAGCATTAAGTCTTTCTGTGAGCTCTTCCACTCATATACCTACTTATTTCATGGTGGAAAACATGATTTTTATTTGTATCTGCCTTTTGGCAATTTACAAAATTCTATTCATAGTGAAAAAAATACTAAAACTATGTTTAATCATATGCAGGTTGGATTAGAATATTTTTAATACCTGCCTTTAATGTCTTTGGAGAGTATGTTTGTCCTGTTTTCCTTTGTTTTTCCTGTTGAAAATTATGAGTGTGCCAAATCCGATTAACAATACAGAGTAAATAATACTGCTCAGGAGTAAAACATATGTTCTTTGGGACGATTTGTCTCCTTTCATTTTATTATTTCATTAGCATTATTCTGACACACACTATGAATCAGAGCATAGCTATCATTTTCCTTTGCCGTTATTAGATTTCTGGCTATTAAAATGATGAATCTGCTTGTTAATGATATAACTTCAGTTTCTTATTCTAACCTATTCCCCAAACACTTATCTGTCACAGCACAAAAATAATTAAGTAGTTTATGCGATAAGATTTAAGGATTGTTGTTTTGCCGAGCGCTTGTACTGATGTCCCTCATTTTGGCTGTGAATGTCAGTGTGGAGTTTTCCTGTAATGCTTGTTGCTGAGGAGCAATCAACCTGTTCATGGTATGGTAATTTCTGAAATGTAGTAATCCATTAAACAGGCCTCTCAGTCTACCTTTCAGAAGAAAGAAAAGCCAGATTCTTGTTATGTTGTGTTGGCAGTAAGTTTACTGAGTAGGTACGTAAGTGGAAAGTTTCCCAATATTAGATCGGGTTGAAGACGCTCAAAATTACTGTGATTGTTCATTTGGTGTTTTGTAACCAAAAGATTATGCTAGAGAGGGAGGGAAGGAGGAGGGAATAATTTGTAATGCGTCTAAGACTACCACACACTTGCCAATTGAGTTATCCACATTTCCATGGTATTTTCATTCTACTGGTCTCTAATTTAGACTTCTACAGAGCATGCCCTTTTGAGAAATTGTTGTATAATGGAGTATTTTCTCTTCAAATTGAGCTGTTTCATCATGACTGATCATGCTAGCTATTTGAAGATTTTTCTCGTCTGCCTGACTGAATCTTATTCTGGAAGCGGGCTTGAAAAACCACTAGAGCTCTGAATCTCTCAAAAAAACATTCGTTTCAGGAGCAGTAACTTACGGAAAGAATATAGAAATATTAAAGTGTATCTCGAAGGAACAGCATTGTATTTTGCAAAGAGATCCCTATAAACTCTGAAGAAACTAGAATACTTTCATTATCAAGAAATAGCTCATCTGGGAACTAGTATGTTTATTAGCGCAAGCAGAACCACTAGTAACAAAGCTATATTGCTCCTTATGTTTATCTCTTCACAGAACTATGCACTATGTATGTCTACCCTCAGTCAATTTAAAAATTGTTATTTTTCAAGCTATGGAGTATTTGTCCAAAGTATCATGACCAGAACAGTAAGGTTGACCATGTCATTGGCTAGACAAAAGATTTATATTTAATTTGCAGTATTTAATGTACATGGTATGATCTCAGCTGACTTCTTTTAAGTACTACTTGCCAGGGACCTACTTCAAGAGACTTTTGTAAAATGATGTTCCACCTCTTTTCCAATATATTGGGTGCATTTCATTTACTGAACTACAAAGTTCTGTCATCACCCACAGGCACTGACACAAAATCATTGTGGCTGAGGCGTGGTCCTATTTATAACGAGTGGAAATCAGGTCATTGTCTCTCTGTTTACTGATCTGTTTAAACTTTGGTTTCCATGAATACTCATGCTTGAGATTTTGAAATTTGCTTTTTGTTAGCAATTTTTGCGTATAAAACACATGACTTGAGCTGACTTTGACTATGGGAGTTGTTGAAGCATGCAGTCTGGCTAATGTGAACCTACTGCTCCTGCAACTGAAAAGCAAGGTTTTTGCATGACCTCTTGAGAACCCAGATCACTCTGTTTCTTCCCATTTTAGAGCTAACTATAGATAGTGCTTAGAGTTGCCTTTGCTTTCCTGTTTAGCCTTGCCTGCAGCATGATCCTTATCTTCTACTGTGAATTGCCTGTGTGCATCAATCATGGCCTGGTTATGTCACTTCTCTCCTTCTGGATTTTACTTCCCTGTGATGATAGCATAAAGATAGAAAACAGTCTGTTCCTTTAGTTTTCCATAGTGGAAATATCTTCTTTAGCCTCGTGAAGCAACATAATGGCATTTACAAATAACACTACAGATGCATGTCAGTCCATCTTCAAACCTTTGCTAAATTTGCTCATTAGA